TGATTGAAAACTTGAGTTCCAAAAAAATTAAATAAGGGTAGAAGGGTAAAGTTACATCATTTTTTAATGCAAGTGCAAAGTAAAAATATGGCATATAAAATGAGACGGAGGGAGTATATGTTTTGAATTTTTGTAATTTAAATATTATTGTTGTAGACCTTTAATAAATAGGAAACAGTGTAAAGTTTTAGTGGGGATTGTTATATTTTGGTGTTAATTCACTTGAATTTTTTTTCTTTTTTGGTTAGTGAATATTTGTAGAATGCATAAACTTTTATTAGTGAGAAGCAAAAGTTCAAGAATAAAGTTCGGAACATCGGATAATTTGATGCACAAAGTATTTCAGTTCAATATTTCGAATCTTAAAAAAGGTCACACCAAGAAGTGTGACATGTAATCTTAAAATATTCATGTTTTCAAGAGTTAGTTATGGCATGATCTTAGGATCTTGTTATAAGGGTGCAAGACATTCACCAACAACTTCCTAGTATCTACAAAACTATTTTATGGATTCACACAAAGTATATATATATCCTTAATAGATACAAGTAAATCCTTGTTCTTATATGTATAATAATATTCTGTATTCACATAGAATTCGAGAAAAAGAGTGTTGATTCCAAAAATCCTATCTTAATAGCGGATGCATCATGCACCGAGTTTCAATATAAATAGTTTAACAATAATATATATTTTTCTCATTTGTTTTTGTATTTCTTGGTTCGAGTCATGAAAGAACTTTGGACATGCAACACGTGTCATTAAAGGAAGAAGTGATTTCTATAACTTATTTCATTCTCAGAAGTCAGAACTCAAACTCAAACTCAAAAAAAAATTAATTAAAAATAAAAGAATCGTATTCATCAAAAATCATCATAAAGAGAGGAAAGGTAAATGTTGATTCCCACTTGTGAAAAAAGGTGGTGTGGTGCAGAAAAAGTTTGAGAATGTGGTAAGTTAATTATGTAAATTTGCAACACAACTATGGCGTGTGCTTTTGAAAAAGTTTTTTTATCATCAACATGGTTGAATTTAGTTGGATGGTTCGGAATTCATCCACTCTTAAAATTTTAATTAGAGGTCTAGGATGAACACTATTTTAAGAAATGAATTTTATAATGTGTGAATTCAATTTTTATCGAACCATCAGACATCGAGTGAAGAAAGACGAAGACGCTTTTTATTGATTATTACTTAGTCCTTACGAATTGGTTTAATTTCTCATAACATTTGTTAAATGGTCCATATAAAGAACTACACTTTAAGGGGTGTGACATAGACCGTGTATTTTAATTAATTGTTATTTTTACGGCTCAAATTCATATAATCTATAAATCACACGAAAATAACTTTATCGTTACTTCAAAGCTCCCCTCAAAAAAGATGATGAATAGAAGCTTTTGTTTTTTTGTGTGCAGAATTGAACAGAAGGATCTGTCTTTGTTATATTCAATGGATGGCTACTTGACCAACACAAGTTTAATACTTGTCAATAATTGAACTGACTCACTTCTCTATAAGAAAAAATCTAAGCAATAAGTATTTTTCTAAAATTAAAAGAAAAAGGGTAAAGTAAAAAATTAATAAATACATTTATAACGATCGGATTTATTTTTACTAAATAATTCATTACTTGCTATAAAAAGTTTCTCAAAAAAATATTAAAATTTTTAGACACTATTGCTTACGAAAACAAAAAATATTTTAAAGGTGTGAGGATACGTGATTTGCTCCTTTTCTCATTTAGTAACGGAAAGATTCTGGATAAGAACACACCGGAGAAGCAGAAGTCTCCAACAAACACCGCTTCTAGCATATTCAATAGAGAAGAAGAATATTTCAACTAATAATATTTTTAATATCAAATTACATGAAAAATAAATGAAAAAGAACTATCTTATTAAAAGAATTTGCATAATGCTAAACTCAATTACCGAAAAAGTTCGCAATAGAATTTTTGGCGAATCTAAGAATAATAATTATGAAGGGATGACTTGATTTTTGTGTGATCTGTTAGTTTTCTGATAAATTCAATTAGAAGGATGAAAATTGTTCACTTTTAAATACTTAAAGGTAGGGGTGTAGATGACCGGGTTGGTTCGGTTTTTCAAATATCAAACCAAATCACTTGTGTAAAAATTTTAAATTTATAAACCAAACCAAACTAATAAAATTTAGATTTTTTAACCTCGGGTTGGGTCGAATTTTTCAAATACCAAACCAAACCAAACTAATAAACCTCGGATTTTTTCAGATTTTTGGATTTTTTCTGTAAAGTTTGCATACAAACATATAATTAACTTGTGCTCCAAATATTTCTTTAGTCCAACCAAAATACAATTATTTAAGGTGTTTCTTAAAAAAATAACACAAAATATGAGATGAGTACTGACGATACAAAAATATTCAATAAAAAATTATAATGAAATCATCATATTAAATAAATATTGCAAAGTCATAATGAAAATGATCATAATTTAAAAGTACTAAATCATGCTAAAATAAATTTAATAAGTATTAGTTACATTACTAAATATTTTAAGGAAAATTAAAATTAGATTATGTATTTTAATTGTCTAAACCAATGTAAAACTAAAGAACAAATATTCAATATTATTGTCATTTTTAGTGTTGAATTGATTTCCTTTTTGCATTAGTATTAATTTGATTTTGATTTAAGTTTTATTATAATTCTCAACATCTATGAACTATAATCTTTATTGGACCATTCCGAATTATAAGTTTTAAACTTGAAATAATATATTAAAAGATAAAAACTATGAAATAGTATAAGAAATATTTTAAAATTATATCAAAGTAAATATTTTTTATGTACAAAATAAATTTTAAATGACATATATAATGTCGGGTTGGTTTGGTCTCGGGTTGGTTTTTTTAGTTAAAACCAAGCCAATCCAAATATAGTCGGATTTTTTTTTTCAATACCAAACCAAGTCAAACCAAATCACTAGTCGGTTTTTTTTTCCGGTTTGACTCAGTTTGCGGTTTGGTTCCGTTTTCGGTTCGATTTTGTACACCCCTACTTAAAGGATGATTTTTTGCTAAAAATGATACTTTAAGGATGTAGTTGAAGTTTAGGGTATAATTTAAGGATGATTTTGACCAAAAACTTCAATCTTAACATCGAGACGATTAAATATCAATGAAATATCTCGTCAAGTAATCATATTTCTTTCGATAAATATGTTTTTCATACATTTGAATTTGTTTGGATTACATCTAGACAAATAAATGACACAAAATGCATATTTCGAGTGTTTTATGTCATAGTTAATTAATAGCGATCAGATTGGGACTTCTAGTCGCAAACAATTAGGTGTCGACTATATAAATCTTTAAGATCATACTTTTTTCACTCAAACTTTATTTGAGAAATAATATTATACAAAATTATATTGAAAAAATCTAAGACTAGATCAAGTAGTTTGAAAACTAAAGGTAGCTAATTATATCACTCTTTCAACAAAAAAAAATATTCAGAGTAATTTTATTAGTGAGGTCTGGAGATGGTGGTGTGTACATAAATCTTACTCTGTAAAAAGATTGTTTCCGAAAAACTCGAAGAATAGTTCACAGTTTCTTACTAAGTGGACTGTCACTCCTTACAACCCAAAGGCCGTAACATTTGGACTATTTTTTTTTGATAAATTGCCCTTTAACAGCTGTTGTTTGAAATTCTGTCGTGTATATATTCAATCAATTTCTTAAGAGATTCAGAGTTTGGATTAATGGGTTGGACCTCTAGCTCCGCCCATGTTTGTATCAACCACGTAATATAAAATAATAGTTCAAACTCTAGAATATTTTTCTCAATTTTCACTTGCAAAGTTGTCGTTTGATATGTGTAGGGTGGGCATAAATACCGGAAAATCGAAAAATTGAACCGAATCAAACTAATTCAGTTCTTCGGTTTTTCAGTTCGGTGTAAGGGCCTCAAAACTTCGGTGCACCAAAGAACCGAACTTTTATTTTATTTTTTTAAAAAATAAAAACTAATTATATATATATATGAGCATTCTCTTAACTAAAAATTAAAAATTCAATTAACAATTAAATCATTCACGAACGAATCAAAGTAACAACAAATGTACAATTCAATAGGTAACTTCAAATATTAATTTCCAAGAGAAACTCAAACATATTTCTACCAATGTACATTATGTAAAGGAACCGTCTTCGTTGTTTTTCTCGAGAAATATTTGGAGGGACAATGTTCTTGATAAAGACAAATATAGTCTTTTAGTTAGCACAATAAGTGTTCCACGGTAATACGCATCTCTCCTTAACATAGTTTTAAATTTCTAAGTATCTTATATTTTATCCTTATTTTATTTTTCATTCACAACGAAAAAACGATTTAAAAACACCGAATTAAACCGAACCGAACCAAATTAGTTTGGTTTAATATACGGTGCACACTTTTCTAAAACCGAAAACCGAAGAACCGAACCAAAGTTTGATAAAACCGAAGAACTGATCCCCCATCCCTAGATATGTGGGATGAGATAAATAATGATACTTTCATATTTTAATATAAAATAATGAAATAAGATAATCTCGTGATTTGCTAATACCTTAAATTAAACGTGGCAAGCATTATCGCCCTCTAACCAGTGACTAAACTACCTTTTCGTTTCTTGCAAATATAATCACAAATTCACAATGCAGTTATGGAACAAAAAATCATCTCATGAATACTTCAAAAGAAAATCTCATTTGGTGTTATTTTTATCTTTTATTCTAAAGTTCAAGTAAAAGAACTACACAAAAGCTAAAGTCTTTCAAGCACTTTTCACCTATATTGTTCAGACTCTTAAAAAATGTCGACTAGAGCATGCTAGATCCACCAAAAATAGTACATCCAACACTTTACCTTGCTCGAACTCTTTGAAAATGCTCTTCAACATTTTAAAAGAATTCGAGCAACATAGTCTGATAACATTTTTAGAGAGTCTAAGCAATATCGTCAAACTTCCTTCTCATTTGCACACTTGATCCCTGAACCCAAACATGTTATTTTTGAGATCAAACTCAACAAAAAAGTTCTGCATTTGAAAATTTCCAAGAATTATCGATGGTCCGGTAGACAATTTGAGCCTAGAATCACTCACCATTGTCAAACAAATCACATCATTTTCACCAACAATAGAGAAGTAATTTGCCAATGGCAATACCATCTCTGAATCCCCTTGGAAATGAAACTTCATTTCTGGCAATGACACTATTTTATGCCCTGAAACATTGAAACATGGCCTTAAATTTGTCAATCTTTCAATTTTCTCAGTTCTTGAAAACCCCTTTACTTGGTTCACAAATGCATTCATCACAGGCACAAAAATATCATGATTCAAGAAAGTGAAAGTCGTGCCTGAATCCACAATCGTCCCACCGTTCCCTTTTGAATTTGGTGCCAAATATTGATATGGTACCTTCACTATTTGCTCACCAACTGTGATTTTTCTCAATCCAACATAGTAGTATCCTGCTAATGCATTTCTTCCAGCAATAAATGGACTTTTTAGCAATGGGGTGTGGATCAAATTTTTGGACTTTTCGTAAACAGTATCCAGAACAAGCATGCTACTCTTAGGAATATCATCAAACATATGAGATACAAGACAATAAGACAGTTTCTTAGCTCCTAATTGGTTTGGCAATGATGACATTCCCCTCCCAAACCCCGCGATTCCCGCAGGCTGTTGGGAGGAGAGTAAAGAACAACCAACAAGAAAATTGGGTATTTTCTTGTTTGGTAAGTTCAGTGTTTCAACTAGGCCAATCCCAGCTGTGGAACCTGAACCATAAAGAATCATATAAGGTGGACAAGCATGCTTACAGTTTGTTCTATTACGCGATTCACAATCATGGCAAAGAGATTTTGGGCTGTTTTTTGGGTGAATCCAACTGCATTTTGGATTTGAACATCCAAGAACTCTAGCTGAAGATGACAATTTTGGAATAAAAGTTGGATTTTTTTGTGAAGAAACAGGACATTTGGAACATTGGTACTTTTTAGTACACGGGAACCAAACAAAGCTACTGCCAGTGTCCATGACAAATGGCATTTTTTGAGGAGGTGTACCAAATGGAAGTGTAATTGAGTAGCCTCCATAGCTATGAGGATATAAAGGGATGTTGGAAATTGAAGAATCTTGAGGATTCTTGATATGATGAGCTCTAGCTAAAGAGAAAGAAGCTAAATGAGTGAGTTTTTGGTAAAAATCTTGATTTGTGTTGGTGTTGAGAAATGAAAGAGGGATTGTTGTGGAGGAGTTTGATGAAGAAATGAAGGGAAAGAGGAGAGAAATGATAGAGAGGAAAAGGAGGAAAGAAGCCATGGTTGGTTCTTGGGAACTTTGGAGATAATTGACATTTGCCAAACTATATAGAATTTCATAATAGTATGTTGAAGGAAGTTAAAGAGTGTCTTTAATATCAAACGGATGTTGTGATGGGGTGATAAGTACTTCATTAGAGGTTTCAGGTTCGAGATTTGAGAATGAAATTGTTTTGAGCAAGGAGTCTTTTTCTCCAAAATGAGACTTCTTGGCGCCACTCTTAGATTAGTCAGGCTCCAATGTGACACCAGGTGAAAAAACTAAAAAGAGAAATTGAATGTCTTTTCCATCAAAGGTAGTTGTGGTAGCAAAGGCGGATCCAAAATTTAAGTGACAAAGATAAATGTTATGGGTTCTAATGAACCCACAACCTAGATTCATCTCTCTGACTTCTTGATGTAAATCCAAATTAATTTGACCACAAAACGAATATCGAGACATCGGATAGAAAAAGAAGAAGTTTAAGAGCCTTTAGTTAAAGCAGAATAGTAGGTTTTGGTACCACTATTGGGACATAGGTACAACAATTTGGCAGTGTGCCATGTGATTCAACAATCAACAATCAACAAACTTCCAAAAAAATTAATATTTTGCACCGCAAATGTAAATGATAAAGGAACGGTGGGGTTTGATAAAATCCAAGAAACCTTGCTGCAACACATTTTTGTTTTGGATACTAACCATTACACAAGCATTTGTTTGCTAATATATATATTATTTACTCAAGTTTCAATGCAGCCATAAGAGCTTACAAGACTATGTGATGCAATATACACAAGGGATAGGTACAACTAGGGGTGCAACATAGTGGTCAATGAAATGGATCGAGAAATCAATAATTTCTATAGCCTATGAGTCATGAATTTGAAGTGAATTTTGTGAACCAACCAAAAGTTAATAGACTTCTATGAAAATGTGATTATAGGATAAATATATAGCCCTCATTTTTTTCTGCTCCAGCATTAATGGATAAACTGCCATTCAATAGCAAAGAAAATTCACAAATAAATCACTTTTCGGCCCCAATAAATGAAAAATAGTTATTATCTTGAAGTTTCAAAATCAATTTGGAATATTTCAATAATATCTGAGGGTTCCATTTTCTAGAATTTGAAATTTCATTACAATAGCTATTTTTCAAAGACGGGACCAAAAAGTGACTTGTGGGCACTATTTCTACTTTTAAGACAACAACGATAAAACCCAATTTAATCCCACAAGTGGAGGGGGAAATAAGATGTACGCAACCTCACCCCTACCTTTACGGGATAGAGAGGTGATTACCAGTTGACCCTCAACAACCCTACTCCATTATCCAGAAGTTTCAAAAACAAGGAAGCTATGCAGCTTTGATCAGAGTCCTGTTCAATAGAAAGTAAGAAAATGTGCATTCAAATGTCGGAAATCATGAAAAAGATCGTTACAACAATGCGAGTGTGTGTATATAACAGGAGTAAATCTTAATCATAGAAAGATAAGATATCAGCTTCAACCAAAAAAACAACAGCAGCAGCTGGAACCTATTGTTCCTTCGCCCTCTTCCTAGCCAAGAACCGTTCCTTAGCTGCAGCAACAGCGTCCAGACTTCTTTTATGATGGTCAACTTTTGGTTGATCACTTGCCGCAGGTTCAGTGGTAGTAGTTGGTACACTGTCAGAAGCTAGTTTTTCGGCCCTCTCTTCAGACAAACCATCTGAAGGAGGCTTCATATCCGCGGCTCCATCAGTCCTTTCCTTACGAGGAGGAGAAACAGAAGGTTCATGATCTTGTGTCTTTATCTCCCTAGACATGTGTGAATGTACATCCGCTGATGATGAAGGTTTTTCTTCTGTTTGAACTGTTTCCGGTTCATGATGATTCACAGCCTTCTTGGACTTGCCCTCTCCTCCAAAGGCAACATTTTTCTGAAGACTAAAGTAAAAATCACTGATGTCCGTCTTCTTAGTAACCTGTCAATATATTTCACATTATTAGAACATAAAAGGATTATGTGCTGACAGGGGTCACTTTCAGATCAAATAGAAGAACTAATGCATGCAAAGGACAACCATAGCTTCTTTCTAGTTTCCATACTGATTACAGTGTCAACTGACATAGTGTTATTGTTAGCGGTGATTATCTCTTGTGAAGTGTTCTGTGTTAAACCAACAGTGAAGTATGATCAAAAAGCTTATGTCCATAAAATAAGTATTACTAGCAGTTCTAGTTTTTCCTTTTGACATCATTAGTTGTAGGGTGGCTTCGGTACTTCTGTTCAGGGATAATTAAACCAGTTGAAACTGTCCGCATCTGAGAAATAAGTGTGTTGGTATGAAGAATATGTCCTCCAGTATTCGATAAATTTTACTAATGCATTTAGTCTGACATAATTGGAACTTATGGAACTGTTTTTGGACCTGCAATTCAGATTTCAGGTGCTAGGTTTAAAAGACACAAACACGGCCCCACTATCAAATGTGAGTGAAATCTTCTACACCAAACACTTTATGAAGTAATTATCTAAAATTTGGGAATTCTTTTAAGAATTATCCGAAAATATATTTCTTTAAAAACTAATACACTCCAAAACAGACCCTTAATATTGAGAAAGTAATTTTCTTTCATTCAGTTATGTTTCCTTGATAAGAGTTTCAAATATTCTTCCCAAGGAAATCACTATGAGATTTTAGTACATAAAGCCAAAACTTTTCAAATGAGCTTGACAATCATCAATCACATTTAAGCAGAAACTAACTTAAGATCTTGCTAGAACATGCTCAGTCATCAGGCAGTTATCAAATGAAAAGAGCAGTTAGGTGTAAAATTAAATTATGATCATTAACATAAATGGAAGGCGATCCGTAATTTTTACAGAAATACCTCAAGTATAAAGATAAGCAAGCAAAGAACAAAAGAGATCCTGAAGTTGGTACCAACTGGAAATCACAAGTAGATGAAAAAATTTCACTTACATCATCTCTCTCCTCTCGTAGTTCACGAAGACGCTCTTCCTCCAACCACTTAGCCTGCTCTTGAAGTTTCCTTTTGTAAGCAGCAGTGACGAACTTGTCTTTGTCTGCAAAAAGATGATCATCTTTACTCCTCTCTTTTGCTATTTTCCTCTCATAAATGACCTCATGCTCCCGTTCTCGCTGTTTTGCCTTATCCATTAGCATCTGGATATATTTTGGCTGGAACAAAGCATAAAAGTTCAAAAAGGTACAAAAATTGTGGAAGTAACTTTCACTTCCGTCAAGATAAAAGTGCAGATATTAATGATATCATCCCGTGCACAAAGAGTCATTACATGTTCTAGATATTATTGAAAAGGAAGAAGGAATAAGGGAAGTCGCAATAATATATAGCTCCAGTTTCGCAGGAAAATTTTTTGAGGAAAGAAAACTGCTGTGCATATTTCAAGAGACCTTCAGGGAGAAGATAATGCAACCAGACAAAAGCCGATTAGATTGAAAAAATTAGCATAACCACTGAGAAAAGAGAGCCATCTCCTATTTTTTTCTAGCATAATTCCATCAGAATAAAAAATTCTCTAATGTAAAAGATACTTTACCTCAGTATGAAAAACAGTTAAAAAAGTAGCTTACTTGGTCCTTGAATGAAGAATAACAAATCAAAGAATACTTAAAATTAACACTATGAAGAATCTTTCCATGATTCATTTCACTCGGAAGATGCTCCTTATCCTAGCATCTTACTGCCAAAGCCACCATAACATGTCAAATTTAGGTTCCAGAGCTAAACCAGGATATATCCTAGAAGACTTCAAGTTGTATTGAGGTGAAAAGGTAATATCTCAAAATCCAATTTCACTTATAGTCTACCACAACAGAATTTACAATACAAATTACTTCGACCAAGTGATTCCTGGCAAAAAGGTCTGTTAGCCTACTCAGCATAGCAACTACTTTCACATGGTTTTAACAATTAATTGCAGAAACAATCATCAGTATCCTCTCCAAACTTTTGAACTGTTCATTTATATTGTTTCGTCAAATCATACTGGATATCTAAAAATACACTGGAAAAAATGCAACTTAAAACATTACCTTCCTCTCTTCGCGATCCTGAGCTCGAGGTTGGACAGCCTTCACTTTCATATCATCATATACTCCATCATAATCAAATACTGAAGGGTCCTCTTCTAAAGCCTTCTTATGTTGTTCTTCAATCTGCCAAAAAAAACAAAAAAAGTAAATTGCATCAATGGAGTTATAACCCTAGTTAGTCACTTCCCCTTTTTGAGTCATACATCCGTTTCTTATTTCGGAGATAAACAAAAACCAGTCTAAAAAGGTTCAGAACAATGTATACCAAGCGGCCTAGTGGTCAATGGGTTGAGAAAAATAAGATTTCAGGTTCAACAAACACTAGGGAATTTCTTCTCATATGCATATAGTTTCAGGTGTCAAGGAGCGCACAAGCTGACCCGGACACCATGGTTATAAAACTTCAGATGAATTTATAAAACAGAAGTGAAAATTATCATATACAGTTAAAGCTTAGTAGTAGTGCAGGCGTGCAGCATGTAAAGAGTCAAGTTGCGCACGAACACAATGATTATCAAAAAAAGTAAAGAAGAATTTATAAAACAGAAGTGAAAATTATCTTATACAGCTAAAGCTTAGTAGTAGGTGCAGGCGTGCAGCATGGAATTAGTCGAGTTGCGCACGAACACGATGATTATCAAAAAAAGCTAAGAAGAATTTATAAAACAAATGTGAAAATTGTGAGATAAGAGCTAAAGCTTACATCTTTAAGAGCCTTATTCTTAGAGGCATGACGAGAAATTTCTTTCTCAACATCATCATCATCACCATCCCCAAAACCAAGTGCTTTAGGAAGCGGAGGCCTTGCAGGCTGTTTCTTCTTCTGCTGCGATGGTGGAACTCTTAATTGTAAACCATATCCCGATTTTTTCATGATTCACTATCAACTTCAAACTGAAAATTCATAATTAAAAAACAAAAATCTTCAGGTGCTATCGTATGAAAAACAATTGCAATACAGATACGATAAATTCTCTATATTCCAATTTGAATTTAAGGGTTTAAAGCTTGTTTTGATTACTTACAGTACAGGTCCTTTGATTTGTAGCTGACGCTACCAAACCCTAAAACACTGCGGCGAGTTCTGTTCTTGATTGACAGAAGTCGGAAATTTAGAGACGTCGGAAGAAGACGGTGGTCCGGCGGCAGAGATACGGTGGCAGAATGGAGTACCGGCAACGATGGTAAACTGGACCGGTATGGATCCAATGAGCTCACCGGTTTCTTATTTATGTATAAGAAATATAAAATATACTCCCTCCGTCCCTTTTTAGTTGTCCACTTTAGAAATGGCACACAGATTAAGGCAACAATGATTAGCACAGTGAAGTTACAATTTTACCCTTATGACAACTTTTCACTTCAAAATTACAACCACTTATTTGAATTCAAGTGAAATAAACTGGAGGGAAACAACATACACTTTACAATTTTCAAGAAGTGTAAATAAGGGTATAATAGGAAAAAATTTAGTTGTCCTTTCTTGATTTGTCAAAATTGACAACTAAATAGGGACAACCAAAAAAGGAAATATGGACAAGTAAATAGGGACGGAGGGAGTATAAATGAAACTGAAAATAGAAAATTGAAATATTACTTTTACACCATGTTTGGATGGTTGTTACGTAGTATATTGTATTATTAGTTTAAATATAATGTTTGTTCTAATTATTACTTAAATTTTATTATATCGTATAGTTTAAATTCATCGTTAGATAACAACGAAAAGATCAACTTTATGTAAGGATCAGTTTGATGTGATTGTGTGTTACCTTGATATTGTCTTCTCATTTTGTCTTTATTTATTATTTAATAATCATATTTCATCTTTTATCTTAATGTTTCATAGTAGTTCTATCCCGTATCCTACTTTTGCGTAGATTTATCATTAAAATTATAGATGTATACATTATGTAACGACGGGGAACGATACAATCTATTCAAACATTGTATTCATTAAAACAATATAACACGATACAATACAACATAATACGATATAACAACATTATGAAACAATACGTAACAACCATCCGTGTTAAAAGAGATAGTAATGTGATACTCAGAATTAAGTTAGCAATTAAATTTAATCTCAACTTTAATATTGGAATATCTACATTATTCCATCTAACTTGGTTATATCTATTTACATTATTTTCTTTTTAATGCACATGTATTTGAATATATTAACTAGCCACTGGTGAAACTAATAGATGATTTCTACACTATACATAGTTTTCTATACGACCAATCATTCCTTCAACCTCCATAGGCAATTGTAGGGAGCGCTTTTACCCCAACGATTTTAATCGGGCTCCAATATAGGTATCAGATAGGGAAACCAAACCAAAAAAAAAAGATATATCATTCATCCAAACTCAATTGTATTTCAATGCATCTAGTTATTCAAATCATCAGAGTCGGAAGAAAGTAGTCTAGAATTATTCTTTTAGAGCACACATCTAGGATCAACACTCAATTTCGAGCCCAACTGGCTGTGAAAGGGCGAAAAAGGCGCAATCAAAAAAAAAAAAAAAACTGGAAGGAACTCCTGGCTCGAAAGCCCCCGTCCTCCCTACTACAACTGACTCTTACTTGGTGTTAACCAAATATGCATCCCAACCTTGAAGCCGGTATTCACGAGCTGCTTCTGCGGGGTTAGCAGCCTTTATAATTCCACGGCCAACAATAATAATATCACTGCCTCTATCAGCAATTACCTGAAACAACAATTTCTCCCAGTGAGCAGCTAATACAATTCTGTCTATGTCGCGTTAAAACTAGAGCAGTTCTAATAAAACCAAACTCAAAGGTCTTCAATTTTCTTATTCTTACTGGTAAACCTGCAGTTGAGGCAGTTGCAAGTTGTTATTCTTGCAACAAACCCAATCAGTAAGGTAGCAGGGAGAAACTAATTATATGAAGGAAAATAAAAGGTTTACGGTCATGCAATTGCTGCACAACCACAAATGTCATAAGATTCTTGTATATTTCATTCACTGAATTATCAAGGTGCATTCTTTGGGATATAAGCTATCTTATGAGTAAAAGTTGCTTCTCTAGTTCGTTGAGGAAAAAAGTTGTGTTTCTAGTTTAATGTTGCAACTGAAGAATATTGGACACTCATGAAATGGATAAGAGGGTTAGACAAATTCCAAAGTACAATAAGGTTTCAAATTCCCTTAGCACACTGGAGACAAAATGAGGGTAATTTAAGCACCAAAAGTGTTGAGCTCAATTAAGTAGAGGCCATGACATCATACTTCACAGGTGAGCCTTCTAAAGAAGGTACAAAGAGTTGAGTCGTCAATTCCTTTACCTCCCCACCCAAAAACAAAAGGATTTTCTAACAATAATTGATGACAGGTTTGTTTGTACCACCGCCCACGCATGCATAGATGTGTTGACAGCTATGGTTGAGGCAAAGGTGTATGAAAGGAAGGGTATTCAAACACCTGAAGAATGTTTGAGAAATTTCAATCCTCGTCAAGGTTCATCAGTATGCCTTCATGGATTCATAAATACATTTGGACATAGATGTGGCAAAAACACATCTGTCTGTATACCAGGCAGAAAATTTTATCTATGACAATTATTGGAAGGGCCACAAATAGTCTAGCCACCAGAATGGGTGTTGGTATGGATTTGGGGCTCTCCACTGTTTGGTATATAGGGAGAAAGTACATAATTGGACCATTTCCTAGTTACTTAAGATTGTAGGAATACTTCATCTATTACATGCAGGTTACTTGGTAAAAATTTGGTTCGCGGTGTCGACAAAATTATGTGTTGATGCTAGTAACTACCCACAGGGGTGTCCTAGCCATCAATGACTATAATCCATATCAATCTGCTGGCTCACCCATGATACCAAATTATATATTATTGATACGATGGAGCTGGCAGGCAGACAGGGGAATCGAACTTCAAAAAGAAGAAAGTGGGGTTTGTATAACTAGCAAGAGTTAGAGAAGTTGAAAAGTTAGTAGAGCTTTTGGTTTTCCCGGATGAAGAAGAGTAGAAAAGAAGCAGCTGCTAGAAAACATCATTTATCAAGAAAGGCCAGTCATATAAAAATGAGAAGGAAAATAATGGACAAACTATTCCGCTCTTCTGACCAACTTACAGAACCTATCATTCCATTTTATTTTAAAATTTTTTGATAACTATGGTATCCGGGCCAGCATGCGCTAACCTAATAATTCCGTAATAGACCATCTACTTCAATGTAGATATTAAGACTGAAATGTAAGAAATGAAAAATAAGACGCGATAGCAAATGGGACTTACTGAATTTGGAGTGTTATATTGTTGGCCTAGGGCATCGCCTCCTTTTACCAATTGAACACCAGGTGTAGCATGGATGAGGGATGGGTTTCCAGGTCCATTAGGCCAAGAGGCAGGATTCACAGAGATGAACCCAATGACAAAATCCGAGTGATCCTCAGCAATTTTTACTGCTGCTGCTGTGTAATCTCCTGTGGCTAGGTTACCTGCAGAACTCATTTCAGCAAGAAGCAGCAGGCCTCTTCCACGCGGCAAGCCCTAAGTACAGGAGAACCAAATCAGATCTTAATAGAATGCTCTGTAGCTCAATAGCTAAGGTATCAGTAAAAGTAAAATAAAACAAACCTTCAGTTTCAGACCATCAACAATTCCTGGACCAGAAATAATGTGTGCATTAATTATATCAGCCCAATCTAAAATGCGGAAGATACCTCTGCAAACAAACGGATCATATTAGATCAACTTGAACAACAAAAAAATAAGAATGTTAAAGAAAGCTGGCATTCCCTCACCCTTCAGCTTGCATTGTCACTGTATTTCCAATGTCAGCAAATTTACGATCTTCAAATATTAAAAAGTTGTGCTTGTCTGCAATCTACAGAAGAAAAGAAACAATAGTAAGGACTCACATAAACTTTAAAAATCCCTATTCATTGGCAAAAACAAGCATTATTTTTAAAGCCCCGTTCAATATCATTTTTCTTTTCAACTTGCAACAAGTGTCGATTCAACCTGATGTTGGCATACATTATTATTTAAGTTAACAAATACTTCAATCACGTAGTATCCTATTATTTGGTCCGTTGCTATCAGCTAGAGCAGAACCCAGTGGTTTTGGCTCAAACCCTATAATTGTGTAGAAAATTTCATATAATATGCAGAAATAATCTATTCAGAACCCACTAAGCAAAATGGTCCAGAACCCATAAACTAAAGATCTTAGCTTCATCACTAGCTATCAGCCAAGGAAACTAAGTTAGTTTTCAGATAAATACCTAAACATAAGCTACTCCTTGGATGCAATGGTTGAACTCTTTAATGATAAAATTTGTAATCCTGGCTGGCTAGCTCATTATTAAATAGCTCATGCACATGTTGAAGGAATAAATAAATACAGAAATACGGTAAACATGATCCAAAATTTTCCTAGAGCAAAATGAAGCACAAACTGCATCATCATCCACCAGAGCAATCAATGAGCACTAGTAACTTACCGATCTAAGCTTAGAACCAAAGTCAGGAGTAAAATCAGGCAATATATCAACATGTGTTTTTAACATGCAGATTTCAGGTCCAACCTACATAGAAAGATTAGCAATAAACTTATCAGATTATTAAACATGAAAGGCACTGACAGAAATATTGGACAAAGATTAAATAGGAAAGGAGGAGAGCAGCATGATTTCCTTGTGTCACACCAAATCAAAGGAGATTTAGCACAATTCATATGCTACATGCGGCTACCAGTTTATTATCTGTAAACCTCAAATGTGTGATTATTTCAGTTTATTCAACACCTATAGACAAGGTAATAGGGTCTCTACAACTCATGTAACATAAATTCATATATAACAAGAAAGAACAGCAGAGCGACAGTGATTATTATATCTCACCAGCACTGTGCCTTGTTTGCAGAATCTATTTTACACATACATTTTGCCTAATGCCTACTTATATTGTTTCCTATACCTTATTCATGAACGATCACAGATAAAAGATCAAAAGGTATTATTCATCACCTTGTCAGCAATATCTAGTAGTTCAGCAGCAGTGGCCACATCAGCAGCCAAACACAAATTAGTGTTCTTCTGCACCATGATTTCAAACAACTTCTTCCCAGTAGGGTTCTTTGCAATCTTTGCCCTCTCATCATATGGTAATCTGGTCCTGACCTTTGTTTCCTTCACTGGTGCAGGAACCGCAACCTTGCGGTTCTCCTCCAA